AAAGAAGAAATCATGTGAAATAGAGAAGGCGAACTTAAAGTGTGTGGCAAAAATCCACCAAGACTTTCTGTAGGCCTACAGTAGAGTTGACTCTCGCTACACATTATAGACAGCCCAAATGTTGAGGCAGCAAATATTACAAAAACCATCAGCAGCATACAACAGCAACAAAATCCACTAGATCTAGGGGCAACAACAAGAACAAGAAAAGAGCTGCGACTGTCTTTGTTTGTTAGTTTGCTGTGTGTGTCTGTTCGCGCTCGCCCGTAAAGGCCACAAGCATGTGCGTTTGTGTGTGTGAGAGAGAGAGAGAGGGTGTGAGAGGGAGAGGGAGAGAGGGTGTGTGTGTGTGAGAGAGAGAGAGAGGGTGTGTGTGTGAGAGGGAGAGAGGGTGTGTGTGTGTGAGAGAGAGAGGGTGTGTGTGTGTGTGTGAGAGGGAGAGAGGGTGTGTGTGTGAGAGGGAGAGAGGGTGTGTGTGTGTGTGAGAGAGAGAGGGTGTGTGTGTGTTTGTTTTTCTTTTTTCATTTCAATTTCTTTTTTTGTTGTCACAGCGTCACTCTGTCGCAATAAACGCTGTGTTAGTTGGACTGTCGCAGTTAACGCTACAAAAATCCACAAATATTTCAAGTAAGAATAGGAACTTATAAAATTATGTCCCTTTAATCTAATGTGACTGAAACGTTCGAGCTCAAACCGGCGTCCCATTTGTTCAAACCCGCGGCCACACTCCTTAGCGAAGGAAAATACTACTTTCCTTTGTTTAATCCCATTTATTTAAGTGATCACCGGTTCGTTTTCCACTGTCAGCACCAGGTGGATCTATCATAGAAGGCAACCCTCATTTGTCAGGGCAATGTCAATTCTTGGGTTTTAAAGTTCAAACATGGACAAAACGCAGTCACACACACACACACACATGCATGTAACACATATATATATACCATACCATACCACCTTACACACAACAAACATACATGGACACACCCATGAAGAATACACTCACACTCACACACGTATGCATCTAGACCTTAATACTCACGCCCACACACTCTCATGCACACACATATACTCACATTGTAATGTGCTAACAACCCCTACAAACATTTATTCTTAGCTCTATAATATTAAGAAACTCTTTATATACACAAGAAAATCTACCCGGACAGTTTGAGCAAAATCACGAAAGTTGTGCTTGCTCAAACCGACCACCCCACTATGGGGTTAAAATGAAAGGGGGACACCGCTCAGTGATTCGCAGGGTCTTCTGACATGCCTGTTCTGACTTTTGAACTCTCAGTTGACCCGGAAGCTATCGTAACAAAAGCCCTGCCGCCTCAGCAAACGACTTCTTCCCTTTCACTCACTGTAACCCACAAGCATGGGGGAGCGACTTACGTTTTGGGAGATTCTTAGTCGAAAGTTGACACTTGCTGACCAAAACAAAAGATGGTGACACCCTCATGGGAGGTTGGCAGGAGTTCAAAATTATCCAAAGATAAACGAAGCGAAAACAGACGTCATGGCCGGTTTGAGCAGGCGGCCGGTATGATCTCAATTGACTCTAAATCTAGAATCTGAAGTATCTGATATATTCAGACATTTAAAAGTCCTGGCAGAATGAAAGATGACGCCTAAATCTCGCATAAAACCAAAAAATCTCGAGAAAGGAAACCGTCAGGAGAAATAGAGACCAAGTTTATTTTACCGAGCGTTTGGAGAAATAGTCACTTCGTGTATTTATTTACTTATTTTTCTCTATGGGTTCAAGTGTGTGTGGTTTCAGGGACCAGTGGTAAACCTGGTTCTACTTCTTCTGTACTCTCACTGTTCTCTAGGTCTGTCTTTTCACCAACATTCTCTCACTGTTCTCTAGGTCTGTCTTTTCACCAACGTTCTCTCACTGTTCTCTAGGTTTGTCTTTTCACCAACGTTCTCTCACTGTTCTCTAGGTCTGTCTTTTCACCAACGTTCTCTCACTGTTCTCTAGGTCTGTCTTTTCACCAGCAGGTTATAATAATTGGTGAGATTGAACTTGTCAATTGCATGATCCTTCAACTTCGAAGGAAATGAAAAATTATTCTTCAAAATTCCATCAATATCAATATAATTTCTCTCTTTTCTTTCAGGGAAAAGTTGAATACCTTGTCAAGTGGAAAGGATGGTCAATAAAGTAAGTTGTGTCATTGTTGACATACGCCCCCCCCCCCATAAGAAGCTTGTGTTTTGTTGTTTCCCTCCCTGTTCGTATGTCTCGTTTACAGCGTAATGTACCGGTGCCATGAGTGGCGGGCACCCTTACTTTGTGGACTTGCTAACGTGGAGAAGAGAATTATTGTGATTGATACTTTTGTCTTCTGCATCAACTAGGAATCTATTTCACAGGCTCAGGTCAAGAGTTTTTGGGATTCTTGTGCAGTCTCAGATTGACAGAATTATGAAGAGTTGACATGTTCAGTACTCCAAAAAGTAGTCTATCGCCCTTACTAAAAACAGAAGTACCAATTTCTGCAGACTAGATCTGTCATCAGGACAGGGGGGGAAGCGTTGTTGTTCTCATTGTCTAGCTGGGTACCCGTGTTCCATGAATGGACTCAAAAGAATCAATTGTCACGACTTTGTGGGTTCAGTGCACACTGTATGGGAAGAAAAGCCTCACTAGTTTACAATGGCGTCTTAGAAGAACTTTCCCAAGGTTGGATCTAAATGAAACTAATTAAAAACTGATAATTAAACTACAGTAACTTCAGACTCCTTAATATATTTGTGTACCCTTTAAATGATTGAGAACCACCATAAATTTTCTCAAATTCGAAAGTTAAGTGGTTCGGAAGTTTTAGGTGACCAAAGTGACGAACTTTCACAAATATGATATGTATAGATATTTGTATTATATTATATATATTTCTCTCGCTCGTCTTTTCGGTCAGGTACAACACGTGGGAGCCGGAGGAGAATATTTTGGACCACCGCCTGATCGAACAGTTCAAGTAAGTCATTGGTTGTTTCACCTATACTATAAGTTACTATAAGGCTCTGTAGCTGTCTCTCTTGTTCACCTATACTATAAGTTACTATAAGGCTCTGTAGCAGTCTCTCTTGTTCACCTGTACTATAAGTTACTATAAGGCTCTGTAGCAGTCTCTCTTGTTCACCTATACTATAAGTTACTATAAGGCTCTGTAGCTGTCTCTCTGCTTCTCCAGTTCTCTCTCTTCTATGTGGCAGTAGTTGATGATTGGATTTTTCCGTTGATGCTAAAGTAGAGATGTAAAGCATGTACTTACCAATGTGCTCTCTCTTCACTTCATCAACAACTCCTGGTGGGCGGCTTTCTTTGTGTGACTATGACCTACTGATTGTGTTGATTGAGGGGTAAAACAGAAAATCTCCATTATCTTTGCTGTAGAAGCAGTCCCTATGGATCTTGTAGAAGTTACTGGAACATCTTTGTGATTTTTTTTTTCACTTTTTGGAAGAAGATGAGACTTATTGACTGAAAAAATCACAGTAGGGTAGGGGAGTGAGATCCTGGTTGATTGTTGATCTTGGGGTTGTTGTTTTTTTGTTTTTTTTTGGGGGGGGGAGGGATTGTTGGTTGTTGTTGGTGTTTTTTAAGGATGGTGGCCAGCCTTGTTGCTAGGGGACAGTTGTGTAGTATTCCTTGTGGTTGTAGTTTAAGGTCATATTGTAAACCTTTTTCTCTATACTGTGTGGCTTGTTGCTAAGGGACAGTTGTGTGGTATTCCTTGTGGTGTAAGTTTAAGGTCATCTTGTAAACCTTTTTCTCTATCCTGTGTGGCTTTTGAGTCGACTGATCTTTCTCTGATTTTTCTCCTCAGGAGGGAGACTGGCGGTGGTGGGGGGAAGAGAGGCCCAAAGCCAAAGAAGATGAAACTGCAGGTACAGTAGACTGGGCTTTTTGGGTGCACAAAGTTCATGGTTGCTTCTTCACTAGATTTGCTTGTGGTTGGGGGGTTTAATGGTTAGCATTTTTAGCTTTTTCTTTTCGTCGAAGTAGAGAAATACCATGGTGGTCTAACATGTGTGCAATACCTCAGACAGGGAATCTCTTTATTGCAGTCAACACCTGAATGTTGGCAAAGACTACAGTGACACACAAGACATGGTTTTCTTGTTTCTTTGAGAAGTGTCGTTTGTCATAAACTGGACCATTATCCAACTCATCTGCACCATCTTTGCTTGACTAGCGTCTGTGTTGTAGTGGTTGGTCGCTTGACTGTCGCACGCAGGAGAAACAAAATTTATTCCCAGTGGAGGGGGGGGGGGTTTATCGAGCATCTCGGCCGTCCTGCAGGAATGTTGTGGCTCTGACAGACGGGGTTGGAAGCCTGTGTCCTGAATGATCTAAATTGTGCCCGTAGAGCTGTAAAAACACACCTACTTTTTTATATCTTTGCTCTCTGAATCCTTAAAAAATTCATGAAGTGCTTCACTGGAAACAAAGTGGAGGTGTAAAAACATTTTGGGGTCAGATTTTGATCTCCCTTTGTGTCAATGAGGGAACAGAATGTAAGCTTTTACTTGGCTCAGAAATAGAAAATATGAAAAATTTGAAGAAAGCTATTTAAAGTTTAAAGTGCCTTGTATAAGGAATACCCTTTCATGAGAATTCTTGGCAGGGATACTGAAGGTGTTGGGAAGATGTTCCTTTCGTTATTCTTATCAAATGTGAGGCAACGTGGTGAAATCAGGCACTCGTCAAAATAACAAAATTGGAGAAACAGGCATTTTCCCACCTGTTTCGCAATTTTAATCAAATTTTGGGGGTTTTTTTGTTCAACCCTTTTATGTTCAAATAAAAACACATTTCCATGTGAATTATATTGAAAAACTTTGATCTGAGGCACCCAGTAATGGAAAACTTCCACTATATTTGGTCTATGATATTTGTGATTGATAGAGATACGTTCACTTATCCTGGATGCCTCAGGCCTAGTACAGTTTACATAATCAATGCGTTCATGTGTTGTGTGTTTGTGTCGATGCGTTCATGTGTTGTGTGTTTGTGTCAATGCGTTCATGTGTTGTGTGTTTGTGTCAATGCGTTCATGTGTTGTGTGTTTGTGTCAATGCGTTCATGTGTTGTGTATTTTTGTCAATGCGTTCATGTGTTGTGTGTTTGTATCAATGCGTTCATGTGTTGTGTGTTTGTATCGTGACCCAGGAGAACACAGACGACACGGCTGAGGGATCCTCGGAGGACGATGAGGAAGACGCCAGCGACGACGATGATGATGACGACGACAGCAACAGTTCGGAGGAGGATGGGTCCAGCCTGAGCGGCGGCGAGCTGAGCAGACAGAAGAAAGACACACACCACAGGTCCTCGGCGGCCGACCGTGAGGCAGAACACGAGCGAGAGCGAGACCGAGGCAAGGAGAAGGGTCCGGCCGGTCGACAAGCTGCCCCGGCCCCCGTCGTGAAGCGAGGTCCCGGGAGGCCACCGAAAAACCCGCGACCCCCTGGCCACTTGCCCCCGCCCAAGGCCAAACTGACGGCCAACAAAACCAAACTGAAAGTGGGTCGGAAACCGGGGCCGAAAAAAGCCGTTCCGAAAGCAAAACCGGCAGCGAAAGGTTCTCAGGGAAACTCCTCCAAGACTGACGAGCCGTCGGGCAAGGGTGTGGCCAAAGACAAAGACAGTGGGGCCAAAGACTGCAGCTCTTCTTCCTCCGCGACCTCCGGCACTTCCTCCAGAGTTCCCAAGCTGGAGAACAAAGCCTCGGAGGACACGCTCTCCAGCCGCACCACGGCCCCGACCACCGGCCCCAAATCTGGGGACCACGGCGTCTATGACTTCCCCTCGGACGACTGCGACTCCAACAAGGGTGTGCTGGCCAGCAATCTCCCGGAGCGGAGCGCGGTGGTCAAGAACTACTGGGTGCCGCCCGCCTTCCTCAAGCCTGTGGTGGACAGCATCGTGGTCACCGACGTTTCCTCGTCTGACCTCATGGTCACCGTCCGCGAGTGTTCCTACAACAACGGATTCTTTACCTGATGGCGTCTGTGAGTGTTGCTATGACAACGGATTGCTTACATGATGGAACGTCTGAGTGTTGCTATGACAACACATTCTTTACATGATGGCGTCTGTGAGTGTTGCTATGATAACAGATTCTTTACACGATGGCGTCTGTGAGTGTTGCTATGACAACAGATTCTTTACACGATGGCGTCTGTGAGTGTTGCTATGACAACGGATTGCTTACATGATGGAACGTCTGAGAGTGTTCTCACAACAATGGATTCTTTACAGGATGGAACGTCTGTTCAATAGTTATAAATGTGCGCTAAAGTGCCAAAGGGGGATATTAACATGTTGTTATGCCCAGTAGAATTGTCAATGGGATGATTCTTCAATGTCATGCTCATACTATGACTGAACTACAACGGGGCTCTGCCTCTTTTTCTTTCCTAATCCTTACTATCGTCATTTTCCTCTATTTCTTTTATATGTTTGTCACACTCTTGTGACCCGTTATTTCCGGGGTGCCGTGATAGTCGAAGCAGAATTTGTGCTGTTGAAGCCAGAGAGGTGAGCAGAGTAAGTCTGATTCCCTGTATGGACTTCTCTGTTGACATCCACCCCTTGGCGCTCATATGACCTTATAGCAGTTGCGAGCGCCGTAAAACCTTACTTAAACTTTTAAAAACTTGTACCTGAGTTGGGTGGGTTGACAGCCGCTGCTCGTGCCCTGACTGGGTTCTTGAGCCTGGCACTGTTGGCAGAAACAGCTCAAGTCCTGGAGCACTTGTAGAGAACCTCCCTCTGTCTTGAGATCCTGTGTCCCAGGCAGTGTTGACCTCGTCCCACGGCTGTTCCCCAGCGGAGCCCTTAGTTACCTGAGGAGCTGACCCGCTGGTCATCCATGCCGCGCCCGTGTGGTCAGGGAGGTCACTTTGACCTTTACTCTATGAGTGAACTGTTGTGACTTGACAATTTGTATACAGTTTAAAATATCGTCATCGTGGCTTTGCCCATAGAGACAAATCAAAGTCAAAATTTTATCAACAGATAGTTAGAGGCATTTGTGGACTACAGCAAATAACTTTTTAATTGATATTCATAGCTGGGCACCCTTTAAAACATTTGCGCCATTGAGTGCATCTTTGAGGGAAATTTGTAGGTCTACTCTTTAAAAAGACGATATTTTAAAATGTGAACCCACATCTTTAAAATAATCATTGGTACACAACAGTGACATGATGAGCTTTCAGAAACTCTGACTTTTGGTTCGATTGGTTCTGAAATGGAGAAATTGTAAATTTACTACTGTCCAGTTTATGACAGTTCAAGAAGCAGAAATAGTTAACTTGGAGAAGTTTCACTGCTACCCAATTCATGAAACAGGAGTTTCCTCTTTGTCTTCTCACAGCTGGAGCTGCTTTCACTTACACAAACACCAATATGAATACTCACAACAAGAAATGCAAAAGTGTCTTTGAGTTCAAAGGCTAGCTGTCTTCCTCTTCTTTCCCTTCAGTAACAGCTTTCTACTGCTTCCCTTTTCCCTGAATTCCCGCTGTCTTTTTCTCCAGTTTTTGCGATGCTGAAGTGAACAAGTTCGCCACCCTCCTCACTCATTAAACCTAGATCTAGGATCTAGGCCAATTCCATATCAACTGTACCTTCCTTTTCTCTGCCGAGGAGTAAAGTTTTCTGCGTGTCATTTGTGTAGCGAGTGTTTCTTCTAAATGAGACAATGGTTGTGTAATAGGTCTCTGAAGTGCATGAGATAATGATGTGTCTTTGATCTGCGCGCAAGGAGATGTTGCACTGTCTTTGAACTCTTTCTGTGTACGTTTGGGTTTTTAAGTTGCCACTGGTGTCTCTAGGGTTAGATCTCTGTGTGGGGAGTTCACTGGTGATATTTCTAGTGAAATCTGTCACCACAAACATTACAATTATTGTACACAGGACATATGATGAAATCTGTCACGTGGGATTCGAGACCCAGCTTACAATCAAGAAGATAGCGGCAGTCTTTGCCTGGTGTTGCCAGGCCTGCTTCAATGATGCCTGTAAGCTTCAAGTCTACATTCTCGCAAATTTCGCATAATGCATGGTTACATTTCCTACATTGGTGTATTTGGACAGACTGTGGTCTATTCTTACCAAAAAAAACAACTGAAGCTGAACTTTTTATGTCCATCATTTGACATGATTGTGTCTGTCATGTTGACATACTCTGAGCGTTGTGGTGTCTCCTGACACAAGTCTCCCACTGTTTCCTGCCGTGTCTTTGGGGAAAAAGGAAGAGCTTTCTTCACCCTGCACATGGCCTACTCTTAGCTTCAGCGACGCTACAGTCAGAATTGTGGCTGTGTTACTGTCCTCCTCTGTTGACAGCACCAAAACTTACGGAAAATATCGGGGACCACTTCTGCCGCAATGGAGCCTCTTTATGCCGCGATGTGGTGTGGAAAGTGTTGGACGTGTTTGTACAGTCATTCTTCAATCAGCCATTCCTACGTGTCCTGTTTCATCTGTCATTGTGTGAGAACGTTTGGAGCCATGTCTTGTCTACAGTTGTCAGCCGTCCACAGATGTCTACATCTGTCACGGTTAGAGGGTGAAAGACAGGATGTGGGCTGTGTGTGGTATTGTCTCAGTTATGTATATGTTTTTGTATTATAATTCATGTGTATATAATTCATCACGACCAGTGTATATATCTCAAGTGTTCATCATTCCTGTCAATACTTATGTGTTTTTCACTATCGTCATGTCCTCCAGTTGTACAAGTATAGCTGCCAACCAATATGTAGAAAAACATTTACTACGTTTGTGAGAGTCTGGGTGAGCACATCTATTGTTGTGTAGGAACAGACAGGTTCTCTGTGGTCTAGTGTGGGAACAGACAGGTTCTCTGTGGTCTAGTGTGGGAACAGACAGGTTCTCTGTGGTCTAGTGTGGGAACAGACAGGTTCTCTGTGGTCTAATGTAGGAACAGACAGGTTCTCTGTGGTCTAGTGTGGGAACAGACAGGTTCTCTGTGGTCTAGTGTGGGAACAGACAGGTTCTCTGTGGTCTAATGTAGGAACAGACAGGTTCTCTGTGGTCTAATGTAGGAACAGACAGGTTCT